TTTTTTTTTTTTTTTTTTTAATTCAATTATTCAAGAGTGGTATGGGACACATGTCCCTTTATAATTGGAGCCATACTTTTATCTTGATAAGATAAGATAAATTAAATAATTGAATTTATTATATATTAAAAAAAATAGAAAATATCAATATTCGTATTTTTCATTCTCTATAAATAGATACCATTCTTGATATGTTTTAGATCACAACTGAAATTTCTCTCTTTCCACCCTTTTCTTAATCATATCTTATTAATTTTATCATCTCTTTTATTTTTCTTAATTTTCAACAAATACCATATGGATCCAAATTTTGAGTATTATCTCAATTCTCAAAATTTGTCAAACTCTGAAAATTTTCAGAATTTCAAAAATTATTCACAAGAGCCATTTTCTCCTAATCTTACCCAATTTCTAATTTCTGTAAATGCCCAACTCCCACAAAACATCTCCCGAAATCTATTTCAAAATGTGCAACAGACACGCACAAATCCTCGAAAAGGAACGAAAAATGTTAGTTAGAGTGTGGCTGAAGATCTTGCTCTAATGTCAGCTTGGTGTTTCGTTAGCGAAGACAAAATGTGTGGCAAGAATCAGAAGGGTTCTTCATTATGGTCATGCATAGCTCAATTGTTTGAGCAAGCTCGATTGGAAAATCCAGAAGAAATTGGTGAAAGAAACTTGGATTCAATGAAAGGACGTTATAAACGCCTTAATGAAAATATAAACAAGTAGAGAGGAGCTTACATGGAAGCATACAAGAATAAAAGGAGCGGAATGAGCATGAAAGATGTTGAAAAAGAAGCTCATATAATTTATGCAGCTGGTGGTAGCAAGTTTACAGACTTGCATGTTTTTGAAGAAGTCATGTGAAAGCATCCCAAATGAGAATTAAAATTAGATCGTGATTCAACTCGTTCTCGCCCTGAAGATGAAGCGAGTAATGAAGAAAGCCATGGCAGTTCCAAAAGATCAAGGACTACTGAAGATGGAGATTATTCAATTCCCTCAGATCAAGAAACTCCAGTTAGTGATGGTTTTGTGATTCTTCGTCCCGAAAAAGAAAGGAAAAAAGGTAGCATCACAATCTTCTTCCATTACTGATGAGTTCATTGCACAAATTCGTGCACTAAGACTTACAAGAAAGAACGAATGTGATTTAATGACAAAAATATCGAACAATAGGATGGAGTTGGAACGCAAGAAAGAAGAAAGGAAGATTAGGAAAATGAATATAATGGTGTTGAATACGTTGTTGGCAAAAGACCACTTATCGCCGGAAGATGAAGAGATGAAACGTCATTTAACTTCAATTTTATTTGGAAAGTAGATGTAATTTATTATCATGCAACTTTCATTTTATGTCATTTTAGTTATTCTGATGTAAGTTTTTCAATTCCTGTAATTCAAGTTATTCAATAAAAGTCTATTTAGTAAGTATTTTTCTCTAATCTTTTTCAGAAATCACATGCCACTCCATGATTGTCCTATCCACTAGTATAATAGTCACATATAAAATCAATGGCCAAAAGCTATTTGGAATATAGTGTTTGAGTTATTACTATCAAATAGCAACTTTATTTTGTTTTTCAAAATTCACAAGTATTGAATTCGGATCAAATAGCAACTTTTTTAATATATAATAAATTCAATTATTTAATTTATTTTATCTTATCAACATAAAAGTATGGACTCCAATTATAATATGGTTAAATCTACATCAACTCTTCATACCACATTCTTATATAATATGGTTGAATTCAGATCAAATTGATATCAAAATAAGCTCATATCTATCTTCTCTATATCAATTATAACTTTGTTTTTTCGTAAGACAATTCGTTCTTGTTCCGAAATGTCTTCGACTGAAAACTCATCTAAAAATTCAAGTTCTAGTTCTGAAACTTCCAATTTCATCGAGTTTGAAGAATGGGAAGAACGAGCGATTCAACAAAATCAACAACTTGATCGTATTATGGAAGATATGATTGTTCGTATTCCAAATATGGTCTTTCAACCAACAAATCCTGTTCTTAGAGGTAGAAGACAAGTCATTGAAAGGCAACAAGAGAGAAGAGAGGAGAATGTGTTCAATGACTACTTCTCCGACAATCCAACCTATCCTGAAGAGGTATTTCATCGGAGATTTCGCATGCGTAAGAATATTTTTCTTCATATAGTGAGCGAAATCACCACCAACGACGAATATTTTCAACAAAGACGTGATGCCACCGGTAGGCTGGCATTTCACCATTGTAGAAATGTACTGCAACCATAAGGGTGTTGGCCTATGGAACATCAGCGGATGCTGTTGATGAATACTTGCAAATAAGTGAAGCTTTAACGAGGGAATCTCTCATGAAATTTGTAGAATGCGTCATTTCTAACTTCGACGGCCAATACCTCAGAAGGCATAATGAACAAGATTTGGCAAGAATACTTCATGTGGGGGAGCAACGTGGATTCCCAGGAATGATGGGAAGTATTGACTGCATGCATTTGGGATGAAAAAATTGTCCTACAGCATGGGCTGGGCAATATGCAGGAAGAAGTGGAAAACCAACAGTTATTTTGGAAGCTGTTGCATCATATGACTTATGGATATGGCATGCGTTTTTGGAACACCAGGTTCGTGCAACGATATCAATGTACTTCACCAATCTCCTATTTTTGATGATATTTTGGAAGGTCGTGCACCAGAAATTAGCTACGTTGTGAATGGTCAATAAAGAAATATGGGATATTACCTCACTGATGGTATATATCCTTCATGGGCTGCATTTGTTAAATCAATTACTTCTCCGCAATTTCGAAAGCACAAGTTGTTTGCTCAGCACCAAGAGGCGGCTAGAAAAGATGTTGAGCGCGCATTTGGTGTTCTACAAGCTCGTTTTGCATTTATCAAACGACCATGTCTAGTATGAGATCGTTTTTTTATGGGAAGAATTATGATGGCTTGTATCATCATGCACAATATGATAGTAGAAGATGAACGGGACGCCTACTTGAATTATTATGATCCTACAGAATTTATGACTACAAACGGACGGAGGCAACAACGAAGGAACTGCAGAAATGGAGTAGAAGAAGAGGACGATGATATGCCTTTTCAATACTCGACTGAAAGAGTCACAAACCTATCTACGTATATGACCAATAGGTCACAACTCCGTAATAGAGAAGCTCACGTGACTTTGAAAAATGACTTGATTGAGCACATATGAGAAAAATTTGGCAATGATAGTTGATGTATGGTTTCATTTGAAATGTTTGTAACTTGTTTAGTTTATGTCATACCGAATTATGTAATTTCAATTTTTAATTTCTAATTTTTTTTTAGTTGTATTTTAAAATATTAATTTTTTTAAATCAGTATTTTTAATTATAAATTTTTTAATTAATTTATCACAATTAAAACAATAATAAAAAATCTATTGTAGATAATATTTAATAAATAAAAATAAAAGAAATAGTATGTTGGGTTAGATTGGATTGAGTTAGGGATAAATATATGTAGGTTGTCAAAAGTTGGGTTGTGTAGATGGAGAAGAGAGAAATAATTTTTTATGAGTTGAGTTGTGTTATGGATAAAGATAGTAAGTTACAAAATTATAAACAAACACCCAATTTTCCAACTTTCCACCTTAAATCGACAAATCTTTATTTCAAGTTTCAAAGGAGTTCTCAACTAAAATGTGCAATTCCAACCCAAAAACTGACAAAACTACAGCTTGAGACTCAAGTCAAGAACGTTGGCCTTCTCGGACTCCTGTTGATTAAATCGGAAACTTCCCGGCCACACGAGACAATCTTCTCCTTCCTCGAGACGCGCCGCGCCAAATCTCGCGTCCGTCTCGCCGAATCTTGCGGCCTTCGGAGCCCCATCTCGGCCCGCGGGCTTGTGTATGAGCGAGTGCGCTCTCACGCCTAGCGACCTGCCCAGTGGAACCCCGTCGGCCATGAGGTGCATCATCCTTTGAGATTGGTACTGTCTGGCGCCCCTTTCTCTCTTGTGTGCGTTTTGGTGCCCGCCTAACGCCTGCGAGCTGTAGAACTTGCGCATGCAGAAATTGCAAGAGAATAATTTGGGGCAAATATTAACTACAGGCGGTGATGATTCTGATTTTGGCTCCGTGGATTTGGATTCTTCCGATGGGTTTACGCCCAGGCTCAAGTTCAGCCATTCGGCTGGATTTTTCGCCTGGCTTTGTTTCTCTTGCTCGGTAATTTCTTCACTTTGCATCTTTTGTTCTTTTTTTTTTCCGTTTATGTTTGTGTTTTTCTCAAATTCAGTTTCTGAAGGATTGATGATATGCTGATAAGTTACTCTGAGTAGGGGAAATGATTCTATATTCTGAAAGGTGTGGGATAATTGAGGCCTCACCTTAGGAAGATATAAAGAAGACATTTTTAGGTCCATCATGTGTTTGTTTTAATGCCCCACTGAAAGTGATGCTTGGATTTTTGAAAGGGGGATGCTGACGTCACACTTCATTGTTAAAGCTTTGAGATGCCCCCACTCATAGTATTCTAATCACTATGGAAAACACATCAGCTTTTGTTCCTGTTTTTCTACCATAGAAAGTAAGGATGACACTTAGTAGGCCATTCCTTATTTATGCAGACAGATAAAAGAAACTGAATTATGTTTATGCGAAATGCTACGGTCCCGTTACGGAACCATTCCGTCGGGATTTGTAACAGTTAGATCATTTTGTAACCGTCGGGGATAGTTGATCTAACGGTTAGAAACCCCGACGAGAGAGTTCCGTAACGGGGCTGTAGCATCTTCATATGTTTATATATGCCTGCCATAATTCTGCATCTATATTGGAGAGTATGTATACTTTAAGCTATTGTTGACAATATTTTTTCAATGTCAGCTTATCCTCATCCATTGGGTTCTTTAGAGCTTCACCTATTATTTGAGTGGAATTATTAAACATACTTCTCTTGTAGATTTTTATTGATCAGCCGTACTCATGCCATCCTGTGTTTCATTGTCTATTATAAGATAAGTTCATCTCATTGGTGCATAAAACACGATAATGTCACTTCAATACGTGAATTGGCATTCACATTATTTGTCTATTTGATTGTACGATGAAACACTATTTGATTGCTATGAGGGATCTCAGCCATTGGTAATTAGCCTACAAGTCTGTTTTCTTTTTTTTTTTCTTTCTTTCTTTCTATATTTGCAAATAATCCCTTGGGGCTTTATCGATTCCCTATTGAGAATACTAGCTAGTATGTAACCCGTGTGATGCACGAGCTTTATTTATTTTGTGGAATATTATGATTTGAAGTGTATTAATAAATAAAATAGTGATAATACGCAGAGAAATTGTCAAATCATAAAATGTTCCTCATGAAAGAAAGATATATTATTAAAAAGCTCATTATACACAATATTATTAGTTTGATTGCCGAGAAACTTGTCGTCCCCACAAATTAATATTTTCAACCCGTTTCCATTACTTACACGCGAAACAACGAAATATAAATGGCGTGACTAAAAACATATTTCTTTAAAAACATGTCAAACGTACGATAAGGACTGACACTGACTTTTCTCTTTATTGTAATGACATACAAAACTATAAGTAAGAACTGGTGCAGTTGGAACCGTAAGAACAGAATGTGTACGATAATTTACCTAGAAGTTCGACAAATGAGCTACTAGTTTATCATTTTACTGTATATTATACTTGATTAGTTAATAATATTTATTGTTATTTTTATATTTTTAATCGTATATAAATGAATATTAAACATGTAAGTTTAAAATATTAAAAACACCTAAATATTATATAATATGTGTAAGATTATCTAAAATATTCTATATTATTCCTTAAAAAAGGTGAGGTCTCTTAAATTCTTTCTAAATTATTTTGTAGGTAAAACATGTCTAAAAACACCCGAGTTTCACACACGCATACACATATATATATATTACATGTTTAAAATATACAAAATACTACATGTGAATAATATGTATTACAGTCTAAAAAAATATTAGTAATTATATTTGTGAAAAAAAAAATATGTTACCACATACAAATATTATGTATTACAACCTATTAAACATTAGACATTGCATAAATATTTACATATCTTTGCTTACAAAACAACTATGAACGTAATTACCAATAATTGACTAAAACTGAAAGTCGAGTTATGCAATTCATCGTTTATTTTTCATTTAAATAGTATTATATTATTTCCATTAAGTAATTAATGATTTTTCGGGAAATGCTTTCGAAAAGTGAATTAACCTTATATATATAGATAGATATTTGCTTTTTTTTTTTTAAAAATTGTTTTCTAGTTATGCAATTTGTAGTATGGAAATATGGGGTAAGTATTTGTAAATTGAAAAGATGACATATCATTTCCTTGTTTTAATTTTTCTCGTGACGAATAAAACCTGGAGAGCCGTATTTGTAAGTTATCCATATAACTATTTTTGGAACAAAATATCTGGTGTCGTAACTTGCCTGTTTTGTCATAGGCTGAGATGGTGAGTTGTGAAAGCTTTCAAGTCAGGTAGGTATGATACATAATGAAGATGGAACCCATTTAAACACAATGTTCCCCATATATATAATGGTTGAATAAATTAGGGAAAAATTGATCTGTGGGGTTATCTTGGCCAGTTTTCTTTAGGTTTTTCCTGTGAACATGAGGATTTGAGTGGGTGCATTCATGTTGGGACTATTTTTGGAATTTTGCTTTATGGCATTTGTAATGTGCTGTAAATTCTCAGAAATTTTTTTAAGAGGAGATTTATAATTGTCCACTATGGGTCTATCTGATCATCTCCACCACACTAATTGATCTTTAGCTTTATTCTTTATTTGGTGATAAAATCTATGACTATGTGTGGTCTTTAGTGGAGAAAACACCACAAACTAGTGTTCCTCCCAAATGATTGATTTATTCTTTTTAACAACTTTCCTCTTTTTTTTGCCCCCAGGGCGTGAGGGCAACTGGTTGCTGGTGGAGAGATAAGGTCTTGCTGAAACCAGAGGTCAGGGTCCGATCTTGACTATCGTGTGAGAGTAGGGGATGGGGCACTCTTACTCTCCTGGGTGGATTAGTCCCACCTCTCTGGGTGTGGAGCCCGTAGCCCGTTAAGAGCCATAAACCGGTTAGGCAGCACCAATACGGTGAGCTCGGAGTGGCTTGGGAGTGCGTGGTGAAACCTTGGATGATTGTGGGGATACCACACAATCGACCAAAAAAAAAAAAACAACTTTCCTGT